CCCCCCCCCCCCCTTCTCTTTGAGAGTAAAACTGAAATCAGGAAAGAGGGGAGGGGGAAGGCAACTGGAGTGTAACTATTTTGGAGCCTCGGGAGGGGATTGGGCACTAGCTTCGGGAGTGGGATTCTTTAAATTCTCAGCTTTCATCTTCCAGCTCTTTACAGACGCATCAGCCCCTCCCCCGCGGGCCTCCAGAAGTTATCTTTTCTTTGGGTGCGATTCCAGAGTGGAACCTGAAGCTCTCAGGTCCCGAGAAACCAGAGCAGGAGCCAAAGAGGCTGGGCAGGGCAGGGCAGGGTGCGTGGGGTCTCGATCCTGGCGGCGGGAAGGCTGAACTGGGTCCTGGGACCGCGGAGGGGAGCGTGGGCTGAGGTCGAGATTGGGCCGCCCGGGGGTCCTGTTCTCCCCCTTCCCAACGTCGCTTCCCCAGCTCTCTGCTGACGTTGCGGCTTCCTCCGCCCCAGGCCGAGCCCTGCCGCGGCCCGCCCTCCGCCGACGGTCCCCGCCCCGTCCGCAAGGCCGCCGGAGGCTGCTGCGGAGTAACCCGGGCGCGGCGCCCTGGGCTTGGATGGCTCGGCGTGCGCTCTGAGGGCCGGACTCCAGGGGTCCGGAGTCTGGGCGCCCCGCGGGGACGCGGTGAGAAGACGCCCCGGAGGACCGAGCGGTGAGGGGGGGGAGCGGTACGGGGAAGGAGATCGGGGCGCTGGGGCGGGGGCGCCGTGGATCTAGAGCAGAGAAGCTTCCCTCCTGCGCGGGACGAGTCCCTGCCAGGCTGCTAGAGCCACGTCTCTCGCTGTGTGCGGATTCCCCGTGGGCTGTGCACCCGGGCCCGCTCGCCTGGCTCCATGATCTTTCACCCGAGAGCCCACCACCGATCCCGGTTCCACAGCAGCACGGAGATCAGTAGCTAATAGCGGGGACTGGACGGGCCCCCGGACTCCCGTGCTCCCGCGGGATTGGGTGGCACAGCCGCGTGTCCCATTCCTCCTGTACACCAATTATCCAGGGATGGTGGTGGTCGTGAGCGCCTTTGCTGGCTCTGCCTGTGCGACCTCGGGACCGCAGAAGCCCGGGAAGCCGGTACTGAGCCACCCCCAGCCGCAGGATTCCAGCGCCCCTGCACTTCATCAATACCCCGGGATGGCTGGATAACCTCAGCCAGAAGCCGCCTGGGCCAGCCCCGCGGGTGGGTCGTGTGTGTGTGTGTGTGTGTGTGTGTGTGTGTGTGTGTGTGTCTGTCTGTGTGTGTGTGTCTGTCTGTGCGTGTCCGTCTCTGTGTGTTTCGGAGGCGGAGGGGCTTGAATTGCGGTGGGGAGCACCGTAAGCGATGCCACATGGCATCAGAATCAGTCTGGGACTGGATCTGAACTAAGTTGTGACCTGACAAGTTTCTCATCTCTCCTTGGAGGCAGCAGAGTCAGCTTAGGCCAGCTGGCGTTCATAATGAAACCCAATCCCTTGCTTCCAATCCAAAAAGCCAGCCTCATTTACCTGGAATTCTTTAGGTCAGGAATTGACACGTTGGTTTCTAGGGACTTCCTAGTAGATTCTTAAAATCATTTGGTGTTTGTTGCTGCTTAGTCAACGATACATTAAGGAAGGAAGAACCTCTCCCTAGAAATATTTTCATTACCTTTCATGTTACAGAGTTTACACATTTAATAATTTTGTTTTTTTCAGTTTTCACATTTTTTTAATAAATGATAATAGTATTCATGAGGTGAAATTTTTTAAAAAATATTTATTATCATTTTAAAATGATGTGTCTGGGAGGATGTGCATGTGCATCTGAGTGCTCGCAGAGGTCAGAGGAGAACGTCAGATCTGATGGAAGTGGGCTAACAGGCTGTGAGGAGCTTCCTAACACGGGAGCTGGGAACTGAACCCTGGTTCTATGCTAGAGCAGTGCCAGTTCTTGAGATGAAAAATTTGGGCTAGATTTGTAGAAGCTTTCACACTATACTACTAAAGAGAATTACAGAACGTAAAGTGTGTGAAAAAAAAAAAAAAAACAGGGTCACCTGACTGCTCGTGCATACTGTTTTCCTGCACAGATGTGGTCACCTCCTCTATCCCCTCCTTCTCCTCCTCCTCCTCCTCCTCCTCCTCCTCCTCCTCCTCCTCTTCCTCCTCCTCCTCTTCTTCTTCTAAGTTAGTGAACTCTATCTCAGTCAAAAAGAGAGAAAAAGTTGGATCTAATACGTGATGTTACCCTTCAGGATGGGCTTAGCCAAAGCACCAGTTACTAGGGGGACAGGTAGGGGTGCACCCAAGAGATAGCCCCAGCTTTCTTGGAATTTCTACAGCTGTAGTAAAAGAAAATACGTGACTAAGCAACCTAGAGAACTTGCCTGTTGGAAGAGCCGTTTTACTCACTGACAGGGCTATGTAATCATTTTCAGTTTCAATAGTTAAGTGAAAACACTGGCCTACAGCGTACATTTTAATATCCAGACTAAAAAGAGATAGTGAAATCACCCAGTAGAAGATTTTTTTTTTTTGACAAAGTACCTTGAGGAGGAGGGAAATTGGCAAAAGGAAACAACCTAGGTCTTTGCATGCTGGGGATTTTTAGGTTCTCATCCTGGTCCTGCTGGGTGAAGATGGGTTCACATTTCTCCCCAGGTTAGGGCCTGGTGAAGAGAGAGACAACACACAGTAAGAGTTAGGTTTGCCAGGTGAAGTCGGCATCGTCTTAGGGAACAATACTTGTGTATGTGTCTACTTTAGTATTCCTTAGCAGTTGTTCACAAATCTGCTAGTATGGCCCATTTCAGTGAGATAAGTGGTGTGGCTAATGCAGAAGGTTCTAGCGCTGTCCTGGCTGGACCTGGGTTTATCCCTGAGACAAAGTTCTTAGCTTCATAGGAATTTTATACTGCCTTATTATAGAAAATTATTTCAGTCTCTGAGACAGTTTTAAGACCTGTGAAAATGCATTCTGGGATGAAACAAAGCTTTATTGTTTTCTTATTTTTTTTATATTATTTGTGATACATTATTTTGCTACTTATTTCTTCTTGTCTTTGTTCCTTTGTGCTGCATGAAAGAAAGCACATAATTCTTAATATTATGATTTTAACAAGTGGAGGAAAAGAAGGGGAGTAATTTGGGTTAATGCATTGATAAGGTTTGCTTTCAAAACCATTAAAGTGGCGCACAGCACTCGGGAGGCAGAGGCAGGCGGATCTCTGTGAGTTCTAGGCCAGCCTGGTCTACAAGAGCTAGTGCCAGGACAGGCTCCAAAGGTACAGAGAAACCCTGTCTCGAAAAACTAAAAAAAAAAAAAAAAAAGAGAGAGAGAGAGAGAGAGAGAGAGAGAGATGGCTGATTACAGCCTAATTTAAGCATTTTTTTCAGTCATTAGGATGTCTCAGTCCTAAATATAGTAAATATTTTAATATGTCTTCCCTTTCCATTGTCCTTGGTTGTGTTTGGAGCAGGCCTTTTGGGGGAACCGGGGCCTATGATGGTGGGAACTGTACCAATGGAAGCTTTACACCATCCTGAGAGGGGCTGGCTGTTTGCCATTCTAAAGGGAAAAAAAGGCACCTCAAAATTTTCTGTGTCTAACAACCCTATTGACAGAATGTCCAACACGGGGCAAGACTGTTCCTATAGTATATTTAGTGCCTTGAGATTTTCTCATACTGGAATTACATTATCTCTTCCTATTGTGATTTGTAGACTAAACCCCCTGGAGGTCACTAAATTACTAGCAGATGTTTGGCCTGCACAACCCAAATCTGTGTACCTGTAGACATGGTGGACATGGGAATGAAGCCGGTGTCTATACCCAGGGTACTCACAAGGGAAATTATCTTCCCATAAACTTCATGTGATGAATTAGAGTCAGAGTGGGAAGCAGGGGTCAGAATGCCAGACTCCCGAGACATTGTAAGCAGCTGTTTGCTGGTAGCGAGGACTGGAAATGTTTCCCAAATCCTTCTCCACTGTCCCATTCTAAATGGAAATTATCTTTGAAAATTGGACCCAGTTTTCAAAGAAAATATTTCTGTGCATATGATAAATAAATGTAGCACACAGGCCATTTCTCGATACTCTTTGGTGTTTCAGAGCTCAGTGTTATGTGGAAGGGTGATTTGATTAGCTGATGGTGAAAACATTTCAGAAATAGAAGAAAACCAGAAAGTACTGGGCAATGGGATAAAATTGGGCCATTACTTTAATTGCGTTAACTAAACTTTCCTCTCAAATTCGTAAGCATTTCATCAGCTGAAGGACAGGCAATGTCCGATAGATCAGGCAGCTTCCTGCATACTTGCTGTTTTCAAATAGCCAAATACTCTTGCATCTTGCTCAATGTGTCCTAATTCACATTTTAGCCTCGTGGAGATGAAGCGTAAGGTAGGGCGTGTATCTTGTCTTCAGTTTTAGTAGATGGAAATCCTGAGGGTAGGAAAGTCAGTCGGTCGTTTATAGGTCATCTGTGACATACCTTAAGTTGAGAGAGACAAGCATAAACCGCACACATAATGCTCCTTCGTCCTCGGCACCTCCCAGTTCACATGCTAAAGGCTCACATTTCAGTTAGCTATAAAATTGCTTTATTATATTTTGTAGTTACTGCTCATGAACTGTCAGCTCCTGGAATGTTCATGGAGTTCTAAGGCTTCTGCAACTGTTTAGAGATCCACTTTTGTCCTCAAGCCTGTCCTCTTCCAGCCCCCTTCCACACCTCCATCTCAGCTTGCTAAGGACCTCACTTCTGGGCCTCTTCTGCCTGCCTGCAGAGCCCTGGGCTGCATTCTCAGTTCTTGTGAACTAGCTTTGCTCTCCAGCTGGCCTTGATGTGCTATCAGTAGTGTTGTTAATTGCCACAGGGAGACAGGCCGCAGCCTGTTGAAGGGTTGAACTCTGGATTCTTTTTCAGATGCCCACAGAAACATAAACCTGCCGGAGAAGACAGATTCTCAGAGTCTGTTAGGGTCAGAAAGAAAGAGGGTGGTTTTAGTTTGGAAAGAGAAGAAAAGATGCTGAGGCCCTCTGTTTATTTCTTGAACGGAGGCATTCGTTCAGTTCTTAACTCAAGAATAACACTGAATTTTAATGTGGGTTAAGACTGTCCCCGGGTTTCCTTCTGCGTGTTTCAGTGCTCTGAGAGTCATCTAGAAACATGATCTCAGGAGAAACGTTGAGCTGTTCTGAAAGGAGCCGAATTTCTATGCTCAGTATGATGTGTAAGTTCTGATGATGAGCACGATAGGCTTCCGTGTTTTGTACTTGGGAATATTTAGTAGATGAGTCATTAGTAGGCGAGTGAAAATCTTGTTATAAAATGTAACAAATAAACGGGTTACTAGCTGTGTACACGGGCGCTGGGAAATCTGAACTCAGGTCCTTTTGCTTCTGTGGATGTTGTACTGAGTCCTCTCCCGGACCTCATTAGCTTTAATTAGACATACGACATGTCTGCTGTGGGCTGTTTGCATCAGCCTTGTCCCGGACAGAGCCAGAAGGAGTTCGCGACGAGTGTATATATCTGCATACCAAAACAAACCTTTTGGGGGCTTCTTTGTAGATAGCGACTGTCCTTCTCGATTATTGTGGGATATACAAAGCAGAATGAAATATACTAGCAAAAATGAAAACCTTTTGGCGTGGTAGTGATGCAGAGGCAGGAGAATTGCCTTGAGTTCCAGGCCTGAGCATGCAGTGAGCGCAAAGTCTTCCGGGGCTACATAGCAAGAACCCATCTCAAAAAAGTCGAAAATAAACACAAAGATAAAAGACGTTAAAAAAAAAATGAATCGGCCCCAGTCAATTTAAAGAGCTATCTATCCTTTGACTCTACTTGAGATAGTCACGGCATACACACACGCCTTAGGATCGTAAAGCTGTATTTGTTGATCAAATCAGGTGTTTACGTTTTTTTCATGTGTGAGAACAGTCGGTGTGTTTGCAGAGGATACTAATAATAGGCGTGTAGCACACTAGCACATATGGAAGCTACTCTGGGAAAGTTGAATCAGAATCTTATAAATCCTAAAAAGAATTTGTGACGGGATTGTTTGTACTCCCCAATTTGTATGTCTCGATGAAGACTCAGGTGATGGCACTGGCTTTCCTGTTTGCTGACAACTCCAGGGTTCGTAAAAACAGCAATTTTCAGAGTATGTCTTTCATGCAATAGAGATTGCTCCTGTTTGGAATGACCGAGAGAAC